AATGGTTTTATGTTTTACAACCAAACCAGAATTTTCTTTTTTTGTTTTTTAAAGATTTTATTTATTTATTTGACAGACAGAGATCACAAGTAGGCAGAGAGGCAGAGAGAGAGAGAGAGGAGGAGGCAGGCTCCCTGCTGAGCAGAGAGCCCAATGTGTGGCTCCATCCTTGGACCCTCAGATCATGACCTGAGCTGAAGGCAGAGGCTTAACCCACTGAGCCACCCAGGTGCCCCTAAAACAAAATTTTCAAGGAGTCATTTTAATCCCTCAATTTAAATATTTATTTATTTACGGAATGAGAGATTTACTAGTGATTTTAAACTTTGTATTTCTGGAATATTTTTAGATTTATTTTACATGAATTTCACTTCCCAAATCCTTTCAAATTAAAGATTCTCAATTTAGATTTGACTTCTGAGTGGGAGTACCACACAAAAGAAAATATTTTTAGAATACTTAAATAATATTTACTGTTGATAACATTGCTTCAGGTATTTTTGAATTTTTTTTAATATATGAGAGAGGTAAAGAAATTTATGAGTCTACCAGGTAATACAGATTCTTGGCTTTAGGAGGAATTGATGGTCTCTGATGGTAGTTCATGCTTATGTTTATTATCTGTATTTGTAGCCCTTTGGATTTCTTCCGGAAAAATAATTGGACATTTCCAGTTTGACCTGATGGTTTTTGTGGAATTAGTATAGAGCATCTTATAGTACTTATAATTATTAAATTATATTTTACTTATTTTCAGTAATGGAAAGCTGCTGTCTCATTAAATTTTTTGTTATGTAAATTCAGCAGTTTTTTTTTTTTTAAGATTTTATTTATTTATTTGACAGACAGATCACAAGTAGGCAGAGAGGCAGGCAGAGAGAGAGGAGGAAGCAGGCTCCCCACTAAGCAGAGAGCCCGATGTGGGGTCGATCCCAGGATCCTGGGATCATGACCTGAGCTGAAGGCAGAGGCTTTAACCCAGTGAGCCACCCAGGCGCCCCAGCCAAATTCAGCATTTTTAATGCTCAAATATTTCTTATTCTTATAGAACAAGGAAGAGATTGTGTAGTTTAATGAACTTCAGTTCATTTTTGGAGGGTATCAGTAATTTCATTTCCTATGTCTTTCTGATTTTCTGATTTCAAGAGATGTTCATTGATATAACCTAATATTTTATTAAAATTCTTCCTGCATATGTTTCCTTTAAAGTCACTATGACCTTAAAATGTAAAATATTTTCATGTTTTTGATATTCAGTTTTGAAAATTGTTGAATCAATGAAGAAATACTTTTGTTTCTAATGTACTTATCATCTACCTATAATGTCATTTTGAAAGCAGTCTTTTGAAAGATTAAGATGAATTTTATATGATGGTACAATTTAATTTCATAATCTATTAAGAAATGAAAAATTACCACACAGAAAAGAAGATAATATTGTTTCATTGTTAGCTGAATTACAGTGTATACTACAATCTTAAATGTCGCTTCATTGAATGATTTTTCTCTTACATATCTATTTTGAAGATTCAATATTTCAAATAACAAGAATGTCCACGAATATTATCAGTGACAAAATGAAGTATATTCTATTTGGTATTGCCAATTTAAAAAAAACTTGTGAAAATTCTGAATTACTGTCTGATAATTTATAATCACTTTTGTTATTTGCCTTACAAATGGCTATTTACAAATCCATTTAGGGGTCTTATTTTTAGAATCTATCATTTAAAAATAAAGTCATCTACCTGTAACTTTATTAGAAAAATATATACACAGAGAAAGAGAAAAAATTAGAATATAGCGAAGGCAGATGTTCACCTTCTGCATAGTCATTAACATTTATCAAATTATATCAATCATAATTAATGTAGCTTAGTCATCAAATCAAAATGTATAGAAAGCTAAAGTTGGAACAAGAGCTAACATGAAAAAAGTTGGAGAATAAATGTCATTAGTGAATTAGAATTATATTCAGTCTTATCACAAAGGCATTTATTTATAGTCAGTGATCTTTTCTGGATGAAGGCCAATTTCCACATTAATAAAAAGATTATAGTTGGATTCATTTTCAGATATTTGTTTTTCAAAGTTCAATACTCTTTGGGTCAGAAAATACTGTATCTTTAGTATGATTAAGCATTCTTTTATTGTATCCACCTCTGAATAGATTCTTCTTTTGGCTGAAATTTCAGAAATTAATACCTACTATAACTATATGTGATAAGATTTTCATGGTGCATTTGAATGAATTTTTTTTTGAACAGAACACTTTGATATACTTAGTTTTGTTGAAACTGTCACTACGTAATGGTAAAATATTGTTTCACTTTCTCTTAACATTAATATATTTTATAACAAAGGGCTGTATTTCAGTTGCAAATGAGACCCTTTTGTCCAAATAATTCCTTGGGCCACTTTGAAATAATATGAGCTTTGTAGTTCACTTGTTCATTTACTTTTTTGGCAGCAACTATGGTAAGAATTTTAATTTTGTATGAAAAATATTCACCCTGGTCGCACTATATGTTTACTGCTCACTTTTGTTTTGTTTTGTTTTGGTTTTTGTTTTTCTTATTTCTGAAGCTGTCAGTGAGAACTCATAACCAACCAGGAAAACGAATTGACTGATTCTCCTCCATCTGTCAAATCTTGTCTCATGAGTAGATCAGCATGAGGTGACAGCAAACAGAGATGGATCTAGGCAGGCTCTCTCTGGGCCTCTGCTTTCTCATCTATAAAATGAAAGAGTTGTTGAAATTTAATTACAGATAATTTAGAATCTAGAGGATTTTTACTTTCTCTGAATGCTCCTGGTTCCTTATAACTGATGAAGAATAAGATACTAAATTATGATTAAAGCAATTAAGGACTACATATAAGTGAAAGCATTTTAGTTTTTTAAAATCTTCACATGGTATTTTACAGCCAAAATAAAAACCATCTGTATAATGAGGACATAAAGGCTAACATACTAACAGTTTAAGAAAAAACCACTATCTATAAATTGTGATTTATAATAGAGTTAGTAATTGTTTCTCACTTTATACCAGGGATTGATTATATCATGACATAAATCTGGACATGATATATCTTATTTAATATACTTTTTAAAGATTTTATTTATTAATTTGACAGAGAGAGAGAGAGAGAGAGAGCACACAAGTAGGAGGAGCGGCAGGCAGAGGGAGAGGGAGAAAGCAGGCTCCCCGCTGAGCAGGAAGCTCTATCCCAGAGCCCTGGAATCGTGACCTGAGCAGAAGGCAGATGCTTAATCATGTGAGCCACCCAGGTGTCCCCTATTTAATATATTTTTTGAAGTAAAATTTCTTTTAAGTAAGATTTTCATGGACATTGTTTTTACTTTTGATAACTTTTTTGGTTAATCACTAAAAATAAGATACATAACTTTGTTTTCAGGGCAAAGATAATAAATGTGATTTAAACATTAAGAATTGGCTTTTTGAATATTTGCAGTGAAAAGCATTCTATTCTGATTTACATCTCAATGCTGAGAGATTTTCATTTTTGCAGTAGTTGTAGCAATAATATAACCTTCTAATGTGGGTTCAATTAGACTACCAAATTATAGTTCCTTTTGGATATGTGTTTTCAAATTTAATATTTGTTAAAAATATTATACATTGGGGCACCTGGGTGGCTCAGTGGGTTAAGCCTCTGCCTTCAGCTCAGGTCATGATCTCAGGGTCTTGGGATTAGCCCCGCAATGGGCTCTCTGCTCATCGGGGAGCTGCTTCCCCCCTCTCTCTGCCTACTTGTGATCTCTCTCTGTGTCAAATAAATAAAATCTTTTTAAAAAGTTATACACTGAGGGGCGCCTGGGTGGCTCAGTGGGTTAAAGCTTCTGCCTTCAGCTCAGGTCATGATCTCAGGGTCCTGGGATCGAGCCCCGCATCGGGCTCTCTGCTCAGCAGGGAGCCTGCTTCCCTTCCTCTCTCTCTACCTGCCTCTCTGCCTACTTGTGATCTCTGTCTGTCAAATAAATAAAATCTTTAAAAAAAAAAAAAAAAGTTATACACTGAAGTAGGAGGATAGAGAGTGAATGGTCAATACATAAATGTAGCCAATAGCACAAACTATATACATCTTTTTCCTTTCATTTTCTTACATTCCTGACTGTGTGGTTGGTTTTGTTGGTTTCATAAAGGGTATAAATATTTGGCAAGGTTTATGGGACCATGTCCTGTTGGAGTGTTTAGTTATGAGAGAAGAAAAGACCATTTTTGAGGAATGCAACTTTAGAAATTTGGCTTTAGAGTTTTCCTGTATAATTATACTAGGAATTTCCAAACAACATAGCAAGATTTTCCAGATGGTGGTTGTTAAACAATAATTGGAGGCTGTAGGAAATAAAGCAGTATTTTGCATGAAGTAGGCATTTTGTCAACATCGGTTAAACTGAAGAACATTCTACTTGGTATCTAAGTGCTGTTCTCATAGTTAACAAAAGAAAAAAAAATGCAAATTTTAACTCTTCTTGGGCCCCCAAAACAAGAGCTGTTCTTCAAAATGAATTTTCTTAACAATAAAAAAAAAAAAAAAGGTATTTATTTTTGAAGTTAAAACTTTATAAGACATATAGTTTAATAATTATCCTAACCAAACTTATAAATTCTGAGGTGCAAAGCTAGCAGATTCAAACAAGTTTTTGCTCCTTTTGCCTTGTCATCATCAGCCTATCATGTCTGGAAAAGAATGATGGCCCTGCAAGCAAACAGAGAGCCTATTTCTGTGACTTACAGATACTCGCCTTTCTCCAGTAGAATAGGTGACAAGGGACCAGCTTGATATATGGGCCGAGTGTACCTCATATTCATCCTAACTGAGTTCATTTTATTTATTAGGTAGGTAAATGTAGTGATTATTGCATCCAGGTAATGTGTAGCCATCTTATTTGGGCTATTCAGTTTGCAATTGTAAACTTGATGGCAGGTTTCTTAAATATCTGTGTGTTGTTGTTGTTGTTTATATTTTTAAAGAGATATCCCAAAGTTGCAGATGGCTGGCTCATCTCCAAATACCTCTTCAAGGTACTCTATGCTGGTGATGTCTCCCGCCACTGAGCTGCACGGGAGCATGGAATTGACTTACTGGGGAGGGCTGTATCAGTTAAGTGATCTTTTTTAGTACATTGCATGGGTTTTGCAAAGCTTTCTGTTTTTGTTTTTGTTAATCCAGAGAGCACAAATATGCTTATGCTAATTTTTAAATTAAAATCTTGTTGTAAACCCACACAATATAATAATCCATTTATTCTCCTTCCTTTCTCATGGGACCCCATCCATATTTCTTTAAGTTCCCATGGCTTTAATCTCTTTTATTAATCAGGCATATCTGTGCAATTACATTTTATTATAACTCTTAACAGTATAAGAATTATTATTTCCTCAATTTTGTAAGTGCTGTGTAATAATATTTGTATTACATGCAAACTGGGGGCTTTAGGAAGCTGTGTGATTTTTCCAAAGTCACTCAGTAAAACACAGAAGGGTAGTATCAGTAACTGCTTTGCCATTCTGGAATCATTAGTGGGAATATATTCCTTAGTTTCCTTTCTCTCGGGCAGAATGCATGCCTTTATTCACTTACTCAAAACTTTTTTTTTTTTTTTTTAATTTATTTGACAGACAGATCACGAGTAGGCAGAGAGGCAGGCAGAGAGAGAGGAGGAGGCAGGCTCCCTGCCGAGCAGAGAGCCCGATGCGGGACTCGATCCCAGGACCCTGCACTTACTCAAAACTTTTCAACAGAGTTGCTCCTATCTGCAAAGCACTGCTAGGCTCTATACTTAATGGCCTAGACTTTTATTATATTTTTTAATTAGAAAAGAAATATATAGTCATTATTTTTAAGGATTACAATTAAGACAATGGGAAATAGAAAACAAGCATCTCTTTTCCTCAACCTTCATTCCCACAAGTAATCATTTTAGACAGTTTCATTTGTTTTCTGTCCTCTATGTATAGCCTTAATCGCTACTGAAACAGATTATTCTTGATTTCTTCAGGGCTCGCATTTTTGTGTTGCTCTCCCTATGGAGTTCATCCTTCGGGACTCTAATTCAGTCAGCCAGTACTCTAACCCTTTTGTTAAAAAGCTGGTAGAAGAAAAAGACAAAGTCTTTGTCCTCTACTTGGAAAGTTGGTAAAATTACTGGGATAAAAAGTTAAGTCAAATTCAGTTTTCAGATTTTTGGTGAACCTCGTTATCTTAATTTTTTTTGTCTTGAAAGATTAAGAATTAAATTATTTTTATGGTATAGATACATATGATAGATACTTGTTATAAATTCCTTAGCAGTGAACAAGACATTGTCATTAAAAAATAATAATAATTACGTTTTGTAAATGAGTAACTGTGCTTCTTAGTTGTTAAATGACTTACTTGAGAGGTCCTGTAAGTAACATAAAGAACTAGTGATATAAGTACAACTGAGTATCTAATCGACTCATATTTAAGATTCAGCTTACTATGTAATTAAAGTTATTTGTGAAGTTTTAAATTCCTTTTTTATAATAATATGAAATTTTATTTAGAAAATTAATCAAGGACATTATTTTACTTTCAAAGCTGGGTAGTCTAATAAATATGAACCTCAACTAAAATTAATAGTTTCTTTTCAAGAAGGAAAAGACTCTGTGCTCTTGCAGAAATGGGAATGTTCTCTGTTTAGCAAAATTATAATAGAAAATATTGAACTGACTTTTATAAATTAGCAGTAAGAAATTCAAGATTGCTGTTAGAAAACTTAAAGTGAAAAGTTAAAAGTTAAATTCATCTAAATGCTAATAAATTGACAACAGTGAATCCACAAGGAACCATTTTCCTTTAAGTATCTGAAAACTTATATAGTGGTATCAGAGTGGTTAATTAAAATTCAATGGGACTGTCTCTTACTGTTTGTCTAGTTGAATAGCAGTTTCAGGATGACACTGTCATCTAGTTGATGCATTGTAATACTAATGAGGCTTCGGCTTGGGGGATGAGATTTTCATTTGCTCTTTACATAGGTAAGCACTTATACAAAGGATAGAGAAAGGAAGTCACTAAAAACAGATTCATTTATATTTTATATTATCAAAAGATAATGTCTCAGCCACTACTTAGTAGAGAACCACTTTAGAAAATTTAGTCCTTGTTCTTAGAAGGTCTCGTTTCAGCTGTAAACTAAGATACAAGCAAAACACAAATATATTGCATGATGTGAACAGATGTCTAACTTAAGAAATATAGAAGAGTATTTTATTTTTAATTTTTTTGGAAGTGTTATTTTAAAATAACCTTGGACCTTAGAGATCACAGGCCATTTTTTGGTACTGAAAATAAGGCAGTGTGTTGGAAAGATATCACGTAGCTGGTTAGTAGCACATTAACTTTTAGTCTAGCAAACTTTTCACCCTTTCTTTCTTTGCTGTAAAATGAATTAGAGTCAGTTTGATGGAATGTCAATATGTTTTGAAAAAGTTGTTTAACTTCATCATTGGTAAAAGTTAACTTCTAAAAAAAATGTAACAGAAAGCATGTTATACATGGCTTTTAAAAGAAGTCTGTTAGTGACAGTGTTTTTCTTCTCCAGAGTAAAATTTCTTCAAGATATAGACTAGTTCTTTCCTTGCTGTATGATTGGTTTTATGGTTATTTTTAAAGGAAATGAAAATATTTGGGGAGTGATTTATTGCTTCAATAGTTATTTTAAAAAGCACAGTTAGCTTGTAGGTTTGTTTTTTAATTTTTCTGTTAAATAGTGATTACGGACTAATAGCCTAAGTACATCTTTTGCTATTAATCTGTGCGTAAGTAAAAATGATCCTCAAGTAATAATATCTCAAGTAATCATTTGGATGCTTCCATTATTTTTTAATTAAATTTAACCTTTTAATAGATGCAGAAATTATTTTATTATTTATATAAAATTCTAGGATATACAATTTACATGAATGTTTGTTTGAAGGGTCTAACGAGAGAATACACCTTCTCTTAAAGCAGATTCTTTCGCATGTGAAAAATTCAGTGTCTTGAATTCAGAACTTCACTTTGGAAATGATGCACATGAAAGAGGAAGGATGGCAGAATCAAGCCAAGTCATCCTTACATCTAGTTTGCTAAGTTGTTAAAAGTGTTGTGAGGATACTACAGGCTTATTAAGGCCCTGCAAATGATAAGAATGTTATTCTGTCAATTGTTCAGTTTTTTAGCTTGTAATCTGGGGAGTCTTGCCATTGTCTCTTGGGTGAAAGTCTTATACACAGCGTATTTTACCCATAGCAGGAGTCCCAAGAATTTAGTGCCCATTCCTTCTCTTTAACCTTAGCCTAGATTTTGTTTTTTTGCTATCTTTGTTTCCTCTCCTCCAAAATGGGTCTTTGTTATATTCTTTTGTGGCTTTTTGGACAGCTTTATTTTAAAACTTCTCATAAATTATTTTCCTTAGCCATGTCAAACTCATGAGAAGATTTAAAATAAAATCAACGAAGAAAACTTGTGATGTTCCCTTTCTTTAAGATCCTTTCTTGATTGAAGTCTGGCTATACCTCTCATTTTAAATTGTGGAGTGGTCTTAATAAAAGCCAAAGAAAATTACTTGAGACTAGAAATATCTTAGGGAGATAAATCTGAAATTGTTGATATGGGAAAAGGTTGCATTAGGGAGTAAATTTTAAACATTTTTCTAGATTCTGAGCAAGTAAAGGGGAAATTTTAACTTTGCATCCCATTCCCACTTCGTTTACAGTACAGGGGAGCTTTGGCCCCTTAACTATTTGTATGATAATAGTGATAACAGTGGTAATAATTGTTAACATCTGTACCAGGTTATAAACTAATTGCTGTACATAGATTATCTCATCTAATTCTCTCAACAGTATTATCAGGTAGGTACTGTCATTATTGTCAGCTTATAGAAGAAACCCAGATTGACAGAGTGAAGTTAACTCACTTGCTCAAGATCGCATAGCTAGAAAGTGGTCTAATTCAGATCACTCTGGTTCAAAACTCACATTCTTAACCAGTAGCATCCTACCTCCTCTCCAAATGTCTGACAAATTGATGACATGAAAATTGTCTTAAAGACAAATTATATTGAAGTACTGTACCAGGAACTTTTTTAACTCGAAGAGCAAAGGAGGCAAAGGAAAGTGACAGGGAGAGATTGAGAGGAAGAAGGGAGATTATAAGTATTTCTATACATTTTTATTTGTAGGTAGTAAGATCTGATTTTTAAAGAAACATTGAGTTTAGAGACATTGAGTTGAATACGGATTTGAGATGCTTTTGTATTTTTATTTATAAAGACAAAGGTATGTTTGTCTGGAATGTTGGACATTTGAAATCTAGGATACACATTTCTTAATACCAGATTGTTATTGAACTGTCACTATAAGAAGATAGATTTTTAAAATTCAAATTTTATGTGTATTGTAATTAAGGTGATGTTTTGTGTTGATTTGCCAGTTGATTTGTTTAACAAATATTTACTGAATGCCTACTATGAGCCAAGCATTAAGTGTTAGAGATTGATTTGAAGTCAAATAAGACACAATCCCTGCCTTGCCAATTTTACCACCTAATATGTAAGATAATCAAGTAAACAGTTGTAAGGATAAGCAAGCACAGGGTGCTGTGTCAGTGCATAGGGAGGAATTGACCCACTATGGAGATCATACATGGATTACAAGAAGAAAAGGACTTTAAAACATCCTGAATAATGAATAAGAGTTACCTATCATGATATGTACAGTTTCTATTGGTTAATTACACATAAATGCATTATTAGAAATACCAGGGGGATCTTTTTAAAAAATACCTATGCCTGGGCCCGCCCTTAAAGATTTTGATTATTTACTTTGGGGTGGAGCCCAGGCATGGGTATTTTTTAAAAAGCAGCTCAGTTATTGTTAGAGGCTGCTAAAAACCACTGAACTATCATTTGAGACATCACTCCTAAAATGGTGCTTGTTGATAGAATACTTTTGATGTTTCTGCAGAGAAGCAATTATTGGGGACAGGAATATTTAAGATAAGTAATTAAGGAAGCCCAGTTTAAAATGTAAAGCAGATCTTTCTATTTTAAGATTAAACAACTTCCCTAAGTAAGACTAATCATTCCAGAAAACTAAAGAAAGAATTGAGATGTCTCTTATATCCTACTTTAAAATGCTCAGAGTATAAAATCTTGCCCATGAACCCACCACTCAGAGTCCCTTATAGAAATATTAATACTGATGTAAAATAACATGTAAAAGAACATTCGTTCATGAGTAGACATATAATTACCCGCATCTGAAAAATTGTAATGGTAAATGCCTGAAGGACCTTTCATGTGCTGCCCACTAGTAGAGAGCAGGTGAATGAGAGGAACTGGACGACTTTGTAGATGAGAGTGGTTCGGTAGATTATGTTTGATCAGTGAACACAGGATTCTAATTCATCATGAATACTTAGAAGATAGACCACAACATCGTTTCATTTCTTGGAAGTTTCCTTATGAAGAGGAGGATAAGTGTTGTGTTATTATTTTTTCTGTTTCTCTAAGTAGAGAAAGCTTTAGAATACAACCTTCGACATGTGAATTACTGGTTAACTAGAACCATAAGGAGGGTTTTCTGGGACCTGTCTAAAAGAAGGCCTTAGAATAATGGAATATTAAACTGCAAGAGATTTCTTTTTTAGTGTCCGGTCGCTTTTTCTTTCATTCGTTTGATTTTGTTGTTGACAAAACTATGATCCCCATCCATTAAATAAATTGTCCACAGTACCGCAACTAGTTAAAGGAGAGCAGGACTAGATGGAAGGCTTTTTGCCACTCAGGTCAGCGCCCTTTTCGCTATGACACACTAGGCTGTCTTTTATTTTTCAAAATTTTATTCTTGCATTTGGAATGTTCTAGTCTAGTTTTCTTTTATTTTGTATTACAATTTGTCTCCTGAAGGTCAAGTAACCTGGTTTGGTTATGAAAGTCCTCGTAGCTTCTGGGACTATATCAGAGTGGCTTGCCGGAAAGTTTCACAGAATTGTATCTGCAGCATTGAAAATATGGAAAATGTCAGTTCTTCTAGAGCTAAGGTAAGACATAAATAATAATATGCCATGTGTATAATCTAATCCCCAGCAGTTTTTGACTGAAATAGAAAAATTTGAGCTCTTTGCTATATAAATTTTTTTTTCTTGGTTGGGATTAAGCACTTGACCGTCTCAAAAATCTTTTGTACGTCTGTTTCTTTCTTTCTTTTTTTTTTTTTAGTTGCATGTAGCTATTTAGAATGTTTTTGAATCTTCCTTGTTGCCTTATGAATAGCAAGAAGGTTTGAAGTTAGTCACTATGAATTCTTTTTTGAGAAGCACAATAAAATATTTCCTATTCTGTGAAGTTTCTACATTTCTTGAGTTACCCAAACCAGTAGCTCTCAGTGTCCTGAAGAACCCTGAGGGTTCATAATGTCAAAAGTATTTTCATGTAGTACCAAGGTGTTATTTGCCTTTTGCACTGTGTTGACACTTGCACTGCTGATACAGAAACAGTGGTGGCAAAATTGCTAGTTCCTTAGCATGAATTAAGGCAGTGGCATCTAACTCCTACTAAACACTGGGTTTTTTCCACTGTACCCTGTCAAAAAAAGAAAGAAAAAAGAAAAGCCAGTTCCTCTTCAAAATGTCCATGATGGTACAGTAAACATTATTAATTTTATTAAGTTTCAACATTTGAGTGCCTCTCTTTTTAATATCCTGAGTAATAAAATGGAAAGTATGCATAAAGCATTTGCAGCATTCTAAAATATGATGGTTGTCTCAAGGAGAAGTACTCATATAGTTTGATTTGTGAGCTAAATTAGAAACTTTTGCCATGTAATACTATTTTTACTTAAAAGAAAAGCATACAAATGATAGTTTTTTAGACTTGGACATTTGGTAGAATTTTCTTGAATAAAAATGAACAAAGTGAGCCTGTTAATTCCAGGGAAGCAGCTGACAGCATTGGTTGCCAATGGTAAAATTAAAACTTCCGAGTAAAAATTAGAATCTTAGAAAACTTATTATCACCATCTTAAGCCCAATTGTTTCCCTGTACTTACAGACTTTCCTGATAACAATGATGTTGATATTAGCATATGTATTTTTTAATTGTTTAATGAAAAGTATTAGCATTTGGTAAATTGGCAAAACTCATAATTTCCAATGATCAGTGCATGGAATTATAAAATATGCATGGGTAAAAGATCTATTCAGACCTAATGGATTTAATGAAATGCAGTATGAAAAGTTCATTGATATGGTTACATTTTCCATGTTGCAATTAGCCTTTTAGAAATTACCAGTTACTGAGTTTTAATGTAGAATTAAAGAAGAATATCCACAATTCTCTGAAAAAGACTATAAAAGATTCCCTTTTGCAAATATGTATCTGTCTGAGGCTAGATAGCTGTCAGATGCTTCAACTAAAACAACACATTGTAACAGATTAAATGCATCAGCAGATCCCTAGTCCTCTTTCATTAAGACATACATTTTTTTTAAAGATTTATTTATTTGAGAAAGAGTGAATGAGAGAGAGAGAGCATGAAAAGGGGGAGGGTCAGAGAGAGAAGCAGACTCCCTGCCAAGCAGGGAGCCTGATGCGGAACTCGATCCCGGGACTCCAGGATCAAGACCTGAGCTGAAGGCAGTCACTTAACCAACTGAGCCACCCAGGCGCTCCTAAGCCATACATTTAAAAAAATTTAAAGAAATGTAAAACAGACCCACTTTTGTCACTAATACTTTTGTTTAGGAAAAGATAGTTATTTTTCATAAAATATTTATGTCAACATATAATGGGTTTGTTTATTTTTTTAATTACCTGAAGTTCCCAGTTTTGAATTGTAATACAGTAAATATGAACAGATATAACCCACATTGAAAGCACTTTGGAGTCCTCAGTAGTTTTTAAGATTATAAAAAGTCTGAGCTGTTCATATAAGCTGTATCGGCTTTGGTTTAGGACTTTGATTTTTTTTATTGAATTGTCATACTAGGTTCCTTATTATTTTTGACACTTAAGAATTACAGAATGAGGGCACCTGGATGGCTCAGACGGTTAAGTGTCTGCCTTCAGCTCAGGTCATGATCCCAGGGTCCAGGATCAAGTCTCCCATCATCGGGCTCCTTGCTTAGCGGGGAGCCTGCTTCTTCCTCTGCTCCTCCCTTGCCTGTGCTCTCTCTTTCTCAAATAAATAAATAAAATAGTTACAAACTTATAAATTATGTGTCTATAATAAATGAAAGTATAATAATCATCTTTTAAAAGTATAGTTTCCGAGTTTATTGTTCCTGCACCTGTTTTTATTTAGGATATTTTTTCTTCTGGAAAGTTACTGGTTAGTAATTTTGATTACTTTAAAGTTATATTGAAATTAAATATTTTGTGAAACAAAAACTAAGTTTTTTAAAAATTCAATCTATAATATTTAAATTTAATGAGATGATTAGAAACATAGTTAAACATTTTAAAATTTCGGTAAAGTTGATAGCTATGATTTTTGTCACCTTATGAAGACTAAAGCCATAGAGTTCACTCTCTAAAATTGCTACTCCCTCCTTCACTGCCTTCTGCCATTCCAGCCAGGGGGCTGTCTGAGAAGTGGTTAACTTTCTGTTTGAGTGACTTCTAGCTTTTTTAGATTGAATCATACATTTTTCAAGCTAAATGCCTTCATTTTTAGGTCAATTATAGCTAGAGTTTTAAAAATTTTTTTCTTTTAAAAGTTGAAATCTTGTTTTTTATATTAATAGCTCTCTTCTTAGCCATAATGTTGTCTTGGTAGTCCTTTGGCCTCTATTTTCTCAAATTCTTGACTTTAAGTATTTATTTACTTTCTAATTGATTGACTACAGGTTCAAAAAATGTGCAGGGGTGCCTGGATGGCTCAGTGGGTTAGAGCCTCTGCCTTCCGCTCAGGTCATGATCCCGTGGTCCTGGGATCGAGCCCCGCATCATCGGGCTCTCTGCTCAGCAGGGAGCCTGCTTCCCTTCCTCTCTCTCTGCCTACTTCTCTGCCTACTTGTGATCTCTGTCTGTCGAATAAATAAATAAAATCTTTAAAAAAAATGTGCAATCTGAATTCCCCTTTGCATCTTCATTGCATTTATATCTTTTTTCCTTTCATGTTTTTCTTATGGCTTAAGAATAATATCTTGATTTCTGTAGGTTAAGACTAAAAGGTAAGCTGTGATTTGAGTGAATCAAGTCTATACAAATAGAAAATACCGCAGGTGGCACATAAACTTTAGTTTCTTATTTTCAAATTAAAAGAAGGAACAATTAACATGACAATTGTATTCTAAGCCCCTTCCATATAGAGGAGAATATATTTATAGAACTAGCATATACCAAAATACAAGAGGTAATTGAGAAGTTAACAAACATTAGAAATGTAGCATTTTGACCTGGGTGGAGTGCAGAAATACAAACCCCAGATGCCATCTTTCTTAATGAGATTCTAAGGAATAAGCCCCAGGTAGCAAGATGCTGTTAATACTTATTCTGTACGAAACCAGTGCTGAGTATGAAAACATCACAGAACAATCATGTTCCAAATCCTACCATCTATCTTTGCTTTGCTCAGGCCTCAAACAGATTCCATTTAGTGGGAAAGAGAGATCTATGATTTGCCTGGTGATGCTGGGAAAAGTGTGCATGCAAAGATTACTACTGTCTTTATTCATTACAGTGGGCAGAGCAAAGTATTTAATCTACCCAGTAAATCACACCTGGCAATTGTCAGGATTGAAGGATTAAGCAAATACCTCAGACAGCTGGTTTATTGAGCCTTTGAGCTGCTTTCTAGAATGACTACTAGCCTATGTAGTGTCCATCTCATCCAGCCTTAACACTTGTGAAAACAGAACCACAGCACCAAATTCACCTGTTAAATAATGTGCAACTCTATACACTTGGGACCCAAACAGATTTTCATTTCTGAATTCTTTATAAGAAGAATACCTTTAATTATACCTTTAGGACTATGTGGATGATGTTTTAAGCAGTGGATGACAAGGTACCTTTCTGGAGAATGACTAATTCAGTATAGAAACAGTCTTTAAATTTAGTTTTGTTTGAATCAGGATTGTCCATGTTGCAGAACTACTGTACAACTTAGATTCACGTCATAAACTAGCCGCCATGGGAGATCTGAAAATCACTAAGCTGAGATCTGTGAAATGCTGACAGTCCCTCTCTTTGCTCAGTACATAACCAGTTGAACCTATTTTCCGGGGCTTAAACAAAGCCTAACAATGGAATAGAATATTTGAACTGAAGATCATGTCTGTAATCTTTCCATCTGACATCTCAGATACCTTGGCAGCTCTTCTTTCTACAATATACAAAGGTTTGGGGAATGGGATTTCTGTATATGGGCTTTCTTTCTTTCTTTCTTCCTCTCCTCCTCCTCCTGTCTTCTCCTCCTCCTCCTCCTTTCTTCTCCTTCTTCTTCATTTTATTTATTTATTTGAAAGAGAGAGTGTGAGCAGGGACAAGGAGAGAAGCAGGCCCGCCACTGAGCAGGGAGCCCAATGTGGGTCTTGATCCCAGGACCCTGAGATCATGACCTGAGCCAAATGCAGACACTTAACCAACTGAGCCACCCAGGTGCCCCATGGGATTTTTAATTTAGTTTTCAGATTAGAATTAGCACTATTAGAAAACTAACTTCATCTCAGCAGGCATTTATTTCCCTCCCTTCTGAGCATACTCACCTTTCTCACCTGCTACTGGGCTGATTACCTGTAAGCATAATATATTATTTCTGACAGAAACTCCCCTAATTGGATCCTTATTTACTACTGTTACTTGTCTTACAGATACTTCCATTGAATTTTCTTGGTATTCCCACTGACTTCAAGCTCAAGAAATCCCTTCATTTTTGTTGTTGGTTCTAGACTCCCAAATATGAGCTCTGTGCTGTTCTTGAGGTTTTTCTTGCCTTCCTGAATACCTTACAAAGTTTTTTCTTTTTCTTTGTTTTTTTTTTTAAAGATTTTATTTATTTATTTGACAGACAGAGATCACAAGTAGGCAGAGAGGCAGGCAGAGAGAGAGGGGGAAGCAGGCTCGCTGCTGAGCAGAGAGCCCGATGTGGCGCTCGATCCCAGGACCCTGGGATCATGACCTGAGCTGAACGCAGAGGCTTAATCCACTGAGCCACCCAGGCGCCCCAAGATAATGAATGTTTAAATAATTGTAGTAGAAAATATAAATAAAGACTAGTAGTACCAGAGAACTGGAGTATATATTCCAGTATTTAATATATATATATATATATATATATATAAAATATATAACATAGTGTATAATATAATATACTATATATATAATAAAGTATAGCTAGAAAACTATAAAATACTTATTCATGTCAAACATAGAACCTACACAAAAATTGATCATTGGCTGACTTTATAATTCATCTCCTTGAATTTCAGATTGAAATCATCTAAAGTGTGTTATCTAACCACAAAGGAATTAAGCTATCATTAATAACAAAAAGAAAACTAGAAAATGCTTATGTGAGTCAGCATTGAGAAGGACTTCTTAATAACTCATGGATGAAAGAAGAAATTATAGTTGAAATTGGAAAATAGGTGGAAAGTAGTGATAATAAAAATATAACATGTAAAAACTTGTGGTTAGAGGAAAATAAGCTTAAATATAGACTCTTACGTATATAAAAAAAGAATAAAGGCTAAAAATCAGTGATCAAAGTTTTCATCTAAAAACCTATTAAAAAATACATACTCCAAAAGAAGGAAAGAAATAATGAAAAGCAAAAGTTGAATTAAATGAAAAAAACGTAAACTCGGAGAAAATCAACTAAACAAACACTTGGTCGTTTTAAAAAGATTAATATAATTGATAAGCTTCCAGCAAGAAGCATTCATAAAGAGAAAAAGAGAGATTATAAATTACCAGTATCAGGAATAAAGAAGAGCCCAATCAACCCAATAGACCCTATAGGCATTAAAAATCCTAAAAGGATATTATGAATACTTCATACCTATACAATTTAAACTGTAGATGAAATGGCCAAATTCTTTGAAAAAAATTCTAAAACTAACATAAAAAGGAAGAAAACATCTGGGTATTCTGATATCCACTAAAGAAATTGAATTTGTAGTTGAAGTGTTCCCCTTACAGGCCCCATTTTTTATTTATTTTTATGGATTTGTAAGAATTATTTGTATTTGATAAATGAGTCTTTTGTCAGATGCATGTAATGCAGATATCTTTGCCTATTCTGTAATTTGTCTTTTTACATGATTACAGTTTATCCCCTGAAACAGAAAGGAATATAGAGTATATAGGTTTTTATTCAATTAGGTTGGTTGGTTTGGTGGTGAGATGTTTCCTATGTTCTTGATTTGTCTATTTTTTTGTTTCCTTATAGAGAAAAGTAGGGATAGTATTGTAACGTAACCCACACAATTCTTGGGAAGGTTAAATATCTTTTTTTTTTTTTTAAAGATTTCCTTCTTTATTTGAGAGAGAGCAAGAATGTGAGCAGGCAGAGAGGCAGAAGGAGAATGAGACTCTCAAGCAGACTCCCCGATGAGCACGGGGCCCAAAGGGGCCTCGATCTTACAACTCTGAGATCCTGACCTGGGCCCAAATCAGGAGTTTGACACTTAACTGACTGAGCCACCCAGGCACCCCGGGAAGATTAAATATCTTAATGTATCTTAAAACAGAGCCAAGCATATATTAATTACAGCCTTAAGAAGTGTTGACTACTATTTATTTATTTATTTGTTTATTAGTCGAAAACTTTCAGTGACAAAGAAATGAGTATTTGTGTCTCTGGAGGAAAAAAAAAACAAACCTTAAGTGGTTCACCATTATCCAACTGATAAAAAAGTCTAAAATCTTAAACCTGGTTTTTCGACTTCCCCACTTGGTGGAGAACATGTTCCCCACGTGTTCGTTCCAGCCACATTTATATCTGTTTGTCTTCTGTTCTAGTGAAAGTTTTTTTTGTTGAAAGAAAAGAAACGTTAAAATTAGCACAGTGTATTATTATAGTGTAATAATGAATTCCATAAACATCCAAGGACAGGAAGTTAGGTGCAGCCCACTTTTGCATGGATTGAAATTAATAAATCAGGAAGCAGGACTTTCCCCACATTTCTTATCTAGCAACAGCACAGTCTCCTGTGTCTAACTTTCTCTGGAGAGCAACTCTCCCAGCTTCTGCTCTGGTGAAATCTTAGCCTTTTGATTCAAGCCACCACTGCCAGCTTCCTTGTCTTTCAAAGGAAATTTCAAGAGAGAAACTTGGGATTGCTGACCAATGGCTTGCTGCTTCCTTCCTGTTAGGCCAGCCACAGCTAATTGTAGGTTCCTCAAGGCTTACTCTGCAGAAACAATGGACTGAGCACTGTCGAGCTAAAAGGGGTTTGGAGCTTGATGGGCAAATTGACTGTCATGCTAATCACACCCTTATCATTCCTTTATTTCCCAACAATACTGCTGCTTCTAGTTGGTCAGGTTTTACCACTGTCTAGATTGACTGCTTTTTGATCCTTCCTATCCAGAAGTTTGGTGAATTCACTAGAGTTGGAGACAGCTGTCATTGCAGTGTTTTGATTTTTCTATCTCATTAATCTTCATGGATTTTCTGGAGATTTGTGGAGGGCTGAGGGAAAATAAAAGTAATCAAATTTTAAAATTCTTCTTACAAATATGACTTCTTATATTCTTAAATTCTAAACAAAGAGTCTAGGAGAAATGCTTTGGATTACTAAAAAATAATTAACTGGTTACTCAACTATTGAATGATATTACTTCTTTCAAAAGTAAAATTACTCACATTTAGTCATAATTGTCTGTTTCTGTGATTTTCTGCTAGAATATGGTTCTGAGTAATTTTGCCATGTGTTTGTTTTTTTCTGGCTTAATATTCAGTAATAGTTTTTAGAATGTCCTGGGTGCAAACTCAGTAATTCATGATTTGGATGCATGATAAATAATGAAATTTGGTTATTAGTTATCTAAAACCTCCCTCTGGAAGGATAGGTGGGAAATTTTCTTAAACAAGTGGTATGACAGTAATTATTTTTTTAAAAGAGAATAGACTGTTCATGTTTCATAAGGGGACTCATTTTAATTAGCATGTTGATCTGGGCATTAAGGTAGAGAGTTATGAAAAGAATTCTCTGACCCAATATTAATAGTTATGTCTCTTCAGAAGATAGAAGGTTAGTATTATATCCTGTATATCTCTGCATCCTGCATCTCTAGAGATATAACAGTATACTATATGTAATCAAAATTTACGTGTTCTCATCTACTTAAATATTTTTTAGGCTTTATCAAATGTATTATTTGACTGGGTTCTTTACATATTAAAATGCTTATATTTTTGATGACACAGTGGGCAAATATTTTTTAATTTGTAATTTTTTTTTTCACATTTTATTCTTTTTCTTCCTTTTAGGGTAGAGCCTGGATCAGAGTAGCACTCATGGAAAAACATTTATCTGAATACATCTCTACAGCTCTGAGAGACTTCAAAACAACCAGGTTTAAATGTTCTTTTGATTTTAAAATATATATTTAAAACAGTCACCTAAAGATTAGAAATAAAGATAGAATGAAGATTCATTCCTTTCTAAAGTCCTCAACTATTTTATTTCTTCCTTTTTGTCTTCTCAGGAAAATGCCATTCATCAGCTAAACATACATTTTTGGTTTATCTGTTCAGGCTTCACATTATGCCTAGAACATCTTTTCTCTGAATCATTTCTGTTTCTTACACTTTGAATACTTGAGATTTCATTCTCTCCACAGACTTTTCCCTGATCATTTAATCTGAAGGAAAATCTAACCATGAAATTCCTATAGCATTTTTACTCTTACCATATTTTATTTCTTTGTTTTAATTAATATATGTAACTAATGATCGTTCAATTGTCTTTTAAGGGCATGGTATACCAGTGCTGTTTTTCTTAGGTTGTATTCACTGAAAAGATGACTATGCTGTGTCATGCGAAAAACAGGACTTTATTATATTTTTTAGAGTGATAGAAAAAAGATTCATATTAGGACAACAGGCATTCCTATAAAGTCCTCTGTTGATAGCTTCTGTTAAGAAACCACTTTTCAGGGCACCTGGGTGGCTCAGTGGGTTAAAGCCTCTGCCTTCAGCTCAGGTTATGATCCTAGGACCCTGGGATCAAGCCCCGCATCAGGCTTTCTGCTCAGCACGGAGCCTGCCTCCCCCCCTCTCTCTGCCTGCCTCTCTGCCTACCTGTGACCTCTGTCAAATAAATAAATAAAAATCTTAAAAAAAAAAAAAAGAAACCACTTTTCTCTATTTCAGAAGTATTTGTAAATGAAAATATTCAATAATTTCAATACCTTAAACATGTACTGTTTAATACAATCGCCACTAATCACATGCCACTATGTTAATTAATATTCATTAAGAGTAGGTAAAATTACTAAATCACTTCTTCAGTTGCCATATCATATTTTAGGTGTTCAGTAGACATGTGCGGCTAATGGTTACCAAATTGCACAGCACAGATGCATACCTTCTATTGGACCACACTGCCTTAGGTGCTGCTAAATTACCATACTGATTTCTACCTCCTAAAGCATATTTGTGAAAGAGAAGAAGAGAGTGACAACTATAAACCAGTTTTGATAGAGGAAATTAGGTTCACAGATAAAGAAATCATATATCTGGACTCTTAATTTCCATGTCCTGATAGAATATTTGGCATCTTGGATTTTGAGAAAATCTGGGCATTTAGTATGGTACATTTGTTGTTTTTTTTTTCCCCAACTTGACTTAGATATAATTGATATACAGTGTAAGTTTAAGACGTCCATGTTGATTTGACATACTTATGTACTACAAAATGATTATTGCCATATCATTAACTAACACCTCTATCGTACCACATAATTATTTGATAGATACTTACTGAATTCTTTCATAGCAATATGATTGTTGGGGGATATTTCTAAAGATGGGCTGTGAAATCATGATTAATTATTAGATGTTTGAGATGAACTTCATGAAATGAAAAATTTATTTCTTCTTATTTATTATCACTAATAATTTAGTTTAATTATGAAAGATACTAAATATTAAGGCTATTAAGGCTTTGAAAATAAAAGTAGTATCAAAATCTCATAGACCAAACCTAAAAATCCTAAATTAATGAAATCAAAACCAAGGTTACACAATAATCATCTCCTGTGCAATAACAGGGTTGCATTAAGGTTATGGTATTCTCCTGAGTAGAAATTTAAGCATTAATAATCTAGTTGTTACTCTTGTTTCTTAGACAGTTGGGTGGGGTAGAAATAATTCTTGAAAGGATTATTTTTAGAATGAGTTGTTCAAATATTTAAAGGGAAATGCTTTTTGCCTTGTTCTGAGGTGTTAGCTATCCTTTTTGATAAAAAGGAAATGATTCAACTCTAAAAAGTCCATGAAGTAAAAATACTCTTGTAACAATATATAAGCATACATTATTCAAACAGAAACATGGCTTAGGAAATGTTTATACACACATACATGCAAATATATAATGTTTATACACACACACACACACACACACACACACACGCATAGTATTTCATTGTGAATATAATGGCTCTAATTCCCAAGAAAGGAAGTAAGGAGTTATTTTAGATTTCTCATCTTGGAAGTTAACTGAAAAACACACTTGCAAAGTCTTCCTTTTTTTGTTTTAAACTATTTATACTGTTTTTTTGTTTTGTTTTGTTTTGCTTTGTTTTTACTGAAATCAAACCAAAGAAACTTAATTTGTAAGTAAACTTAATTGTGAACCTCTAGCCAAAGCATATCTATTATTTGGAAGATTAAGTTTGTAAATACAAGCAAACTTTTGGAAAGAATAGTTAAACCTTACCTTTTGTCTGAATGCTGATATAAGTGCTTGTAGAACAATGAGAATGATCTCTGATCCTTTAGGAATCTTGAGAATTTCTGAGTCAAGTGATTTCTTCTTGTTCTACTCTTCAATGAGAAAGAGTAATGACGTTCTGTAAAATGGTGATACAAGTGTTTACCCCAGTACCGAAGGAGGAGCTACATGAGCTAAGACAGGCAAGCTTGAGAATATTAATCAGTGAAAATCCAAGGATAAGAATGGGTGGAGGAAGTATGGGGATGAGAAATACAGTAAATCCACTGGTAGGAGTACGTCATGTGGCTCCATAGTGTTAGAGAAATTCAGGTGTTTTTTGTTTTTGTTTTTGTTTTTCCCTAAGGTGAAGAATGTCTCAGTGAGCAATTGAAAACAGTGCTTGCAGAGTTTCATGGTTTAGGGATTGAGATGTTACTGAGAAATAGCCAGAGGTGGGAGGTTGGCAGACTTGAGATTAGAATCCAAGCCTAAAAAAAAAAAAAAAACCAGTTGGGGAATTGTTTTGGTAGTTTACTGGGAAGACTGAGAAGTAGACAGGTAATTAAAGAATTAAGGTAGAGAGAGAAACTGAATTAATTTGCTTCAAGTTTCAATTTCTCCCATCTATAGACTGAAAAATAATAGTTTCTTAAGCTAAGAAACACAAATGTGACAATTGAAACAAGATTGAAAACATTCTGATAAGAATTTGAAATAGCAAATATGGAAAATATAAAGTAGAGATAAAATTAGTTTTATGGAGACCTGTTTATTACTTTAGAGTTGTACCACAGTACTTAATTTAAAATGACAAAAGTTGTGTTCAGAAGAAATATCAATTTCTTGGTATTTAGTAGGACTAAGAGAAGGAAGGAAGAAAGTATAAAGTAAAACTTCAAAAATTACTGAGCTTTCACAAAGTGAAAATGGAGTTGATAAATACTTTTCACACTTATAGAAAAGTAGATAGTGAGCAATTAACGTATCTTTCAAGAGCTAAAAAGCACTTTTGAAATCTGAATCTGTTTAAAAGTTTTACATTATTAAGATGAAAAACATTAATAAAAGTTGCTTGTATACTGCTGCCTCATAGCATATACAAAAATTACTGAAAATGGATCAGACTTACTTGGAAAACTCTTAGAAGAAAACATAAATGTAAATCTTCATGACCTTGGATTAAGAATAGTTTCCTGGATGTACAAGCCACAAAAGAAAAAAATAGATAAATGGACATAATCAAATTTTACCTTTGTGCTTTGAAGAATACCATCAAGAAAGTGAAAAGATGACCCAAAGACAGAGAAAAGTTTTGCAAAAAAATTTTTTTGCTTATGTCTGCTAAGGGACTTCCATCTAGAATATATATAAAGAACTCTTGAAACGTATAAATAAAAAAAAAAACATTTTAAAATGGGCAAAGAATATGAATAGACATTTTTCCAAAGAAAATATACAGATGACCGATAAACACAAAAAAGATGCTCACTATTGGGAAGCCTGGGTGGCTCAGTTGATTAAGCATCTGCCTTCAGCTCAAGTCAAGGATCCTGGGGTCCTGGGATCGAGTCCCACATTGGGCTCCTTGCTTGGCAGGGAGTCTGCTTCTCCCTCTGCCTCTGCCTGCCACTCTGCCTGCTTGTGCTCTCTCTCTCTCTGACAAATAAATAAATAAAATCTTAAAAAAAAAAAAGATATCAGTATCATTAACCATCAGAAAACTGCAAATCAAAACCACAATGCAAAAAAACAAAAAACCCACAATGCAATACTACTGCACACCCACCAGGATGGCTGAAATCAAAAGAACACATAATAACAAATATTGGCAAGGACCTAGAAAAATTGAAACCCTCATACTTTGACAGTAGAAAAGCAGAATGATGCAGGCCCTTTGAAAAACAGTCTGACAGTTCCTCAAAAGGTTAAACATAGATGTATCATATGACCTTGCATGTGACTCCTATATATGTGTGTGTATATATTTCCAAGAGAATTGAAAATGTGTTCACAAAAAGTGTCTCTACAAATATTTATAGTAGCATTATTCATAATAGCCAAAAAGTGGAAACAACCTAAATGTCTCATCAACTGATGAAAGAATGAATAAATAATGTGTATTCCATGCAGTGGAATGATCTTCAGCCATATAAAGAAATGAAGTGCTTCTTCCTGTACTGGTACTTGCTTGTGTACTCATTCGCTGTGGATGACCTGGTACCTCCTTTGTGAAGTGGCAGCTAAGGAGACTCCAAAATTCTCCATGGTGGATGAAAAGCCCAAAGGAGAAGTCAAGACTGAGAAAAATAATCATAGTAATGTTCACGTGGTTCTGTGGGGCAGTGTAAGATTTAAGCATATAACACTAAGCAAACTAAAGAAAACCTCTGTGAACACAGGGTTTGTCTCTGAGGCAGATCAGAGTCCCATTTGAAAGGCAGCCAATCAGTGAAGCAGACATACCCGCACAGTTAGAAATGAGAATGAAGGATAAAATTGATGCGTTCCAGCAGTAGACAGAAAGTGTCTACTAAAGAAGAAACTTGTTATTTGATTCCAGAACTCTCTTCCTACAGACCAAGAATACATTCTCTGTTCAAAACAAAACAAAAGAAACACAGTTTTGTTCCACCACAA